ATCTCTGTTTTTTTAAATTTCTCTCAGCGTTAAATAACCGTCAAACACACCTTTCCCGCCAACGCTCCAGGAATGTGCGGTTTTAGGATGTCCAACTGTGTACCTGTCACCAGCATTTCCTCACTTTCAAGCCGCCCCTCTAGGTGAATATCTGATATGACTTTATAAAAGTACGTTTTGAAATAATCAAGCTCTAGGCGAATTAAGGAGATACTCACTTAAGTAAGGAGTTAATTAATATTTTGTAACGTGAATAGTTAGTTGTAAACTATCTAAGTCGAGAGTAAAGTTAGGTGCGTGATACTCATTTACAAATGTCTAAGTATTCGCCGGAACAATAATTTCGTTACTAGTTGAGATATCGGTTTGAAGTAAAAGCTAAATTGGCGAAGTATTGAGTTTCTACACCTTTGATGCACAATATGGCTGCTGTATCACTAATGTGTGTTTTCGGGAGACCTAAAAGTTAGCGGTGGGGAAGAGAATCATTGATACATGATTAGCAGTTGTTGGTCGCAAAACATCTACTGGTTCTCGTTAAAAATTCGAAAATTTTGATTCTGAAAAAACTGTTGGAGTTGATAATAATAATAATAATAATAATAATTTATTTATCCAGCAGACCAGTTGGTCCAGAAGAGGATAGAAATTTTACAACAATGTATAAAAGAAAAGATACAAAAATTTAAATACTGAATATTAAATAAGAGATTTAAATAATTAAATAAATCAAACTTACATGAAATGACACATATACAATTACACTTATACTTAACTAAGGTTAAGAGTTAACAAAGAATCGAGGCCGGAAGTGACTTCTAGATCTCTAAATCTACAAGAAAGAGTATTTAGGTTAAGTTTCGAAAATGGTCAAAAATGGGTCGAAATTTGAAGAAGTATTGAAAAAATTTCATTTTTAAAAAGTTGTCTAAAAATTCTCAAAAAATTCAGGGATGTAGATCTCGACATGCTGGTTTCAAAAACATGGCGCTTGTATGTTCATCACGCAGCATTTTCAAAATTTTCTGTTTTAAAGACAAATTTTCTAAAAATTCCAAAAATTTCGGTATTTCAACGGCGATTCTGGAAAAACTGTTGGAGTTAACAAAGAATCGAGACCGAAAGTGAATTCTAGGTCTCGAAATCTACAACCTAATGTATTTAGTTAAGTTTCGAAAATGGTCAAAAATGGGTCGAAATTTGAAGAGGCATTGGCAAAATTTCACTTTTAAAAAAGTTGTAGAAAAACTCTCAAAATTTTCAGGATGTAGATCTCGACATGCTGGTTTCAAAAACTTGGCGCATGTATGTTCATCACGCGACATTTTCAAAATGTTCGGTTTAAAAGACAAATTTTCCAAAAATTCCAATACTTTCAATATTTCAACTTTCGATTCTGGAAAAACTGTTGGAGTTAACAACGAAACGAGGCAGGAAGTAAGTTCTAGGTCTTGAAATCTATAACAAAATGTGTTTGGTTAAGTTTTAAAAATGGTCAAAAATGGGTCGAAATTTTGATAGTGGAAAATTTCATTTTTGGAAAAGTTGTTTAAAAATTCTCAAAAACTTCAAGCACGTAGATCTCGACGTGCTGATTCCAAAAATATGCCGCATGTATGTTAGTTCATCACGCAGCAATTTCAAAATGTTCGGTTTTAAAGACAAATTTTCTAAAAATTCCAAAAATGTCGGTATTTTAACGGCTGATTCTGGAAAAGCAGTAGGAGTTAACAAAGAAACAAGGCTGGAAGTAACTTATAGAAGTCGAAATTTATCAGCAAATGCTTTTAGTTAAGTTTCGAAAACCATCAAAAATGGGTCGAAATTTGAAGGGGAATTTGTAAAATTTCATTTTTAAAAAAGTAGTCTAAAAATTGTCAGAAAATTTAAGAATGCATATCTCGACGTGCTGGTTCCAAAAATATGCCGCATGTATGTTCATTACGCAGCATTTTCAAAATGTTCGGTTCTAAAGATAAATTTTCAAAAAATTCCACAATTTCCAAATTTCAAAAGCAGATTCTGAAAAAACTGTTGGAGTTAAGAAAGAAACGAGGCTGAAAGTGACTCCTAGAGCTCAAAATTTATAAAATAATGTATTTAGTTAAGTTCCGAAAACGGTCAAAAATGGATCGAAATTTGAAGGGGTATTTGAAAAATATCACTTTTCAAAAAGTTTTCTAAAAATTTTCAAAAAATTGAAGGATGTAGATCTCGACGTGCTAATTCTAAAAATAAAGCATGTGTATGTTTATCACGTAGTATTTTCAAAATGTTCGGTTCTAAAGACAAATTTTCTAAAAATTCCAAAAATTTCGGTATTTCAACGGCTGATTCTGGAAAAACTGTAGGAGTTAACAAAGAAACGAGACCGGAATTTATAAGAAAATGCATTTAGTTAAGTTTCAAAAACGATAAAAAATAGGTCGAAATTTCAAGGGGAATTTGTAAAATTTTACTTTTAAAAAAGTGGTATAAAAATTCTCAGAAAATTTAAGGATGTATATCTCGACGTGCTGGTTCCAAAAATATGCCGCATGTATGTTCATCACGCAGCATTTTCCAAATGTTCGGTTTTATAGACAAGTTTTCAAAAAATTCCACAATTTCCTAATTTCAAAAGCAGGTTCTGGAAAAACTATTGGAGTTAACAAAGAAATGAGACCGGAAGTGACTTCTAGAGCTCGAAATTTATAAGATAATGTATTTAGTTAAGTTTCGAAAACGGTCAAAAATGGGTGGAAATTTGAAGGGGTATTTGAAAAATTTTACTTTTAAAAAAGTTGTCTAAAAATTCTCAAAAAACTGAAGGATCTAGATCTCGACGTCCTGATTCCAAAAATAAAGCGTGTGTATGTTCATCATACAAAATGTTCAAAATGTTCGGTTTTAAAGACAAATTTTTCAAATATTCAAAAATTTCGATATTTGAACGGTCGATTCTGGAAAAACTATTGGAGTTATCAAAGAAACGAGGCCGGAAGTGACTTTTAGAGCTCGATATCCACAAGAAAAAGTATTTGGTTAAGTTCCGAAAATGGTCAAAATGGGCCGAAATTTACACAAGTGCTGGAAAAATTTCACTTTTAAAAAATTTCTCGAAAAATTCTCAAAAACTTCAGTGATGTAGATCTCGGCATGCTGATTCCAAAAATATGGCGCATGTACGTTCATCACGGAACGTTTTCAAAATTTTCTGTTTTAACGACAAATTTTCTAAAAATTCCAAAAATTTCAGTAATTCAACGGCTGATTCTGGAAAAACTGTAGGAGTTAACAAAGAAACGAGGCCGGAATTTATAAGAAAATGCATTTAGTTAAGTTTCGAAAACGATCAAAAATAGGTCGAAATTTCAAGGGGAATTTGTAAAATTTCACTTTTAAAAAAGTCGTCTAAAAATTCTGAGAAAATTTAAGAAAGTATATCTCGACGTGCTGGTTCCAAAAATATGCCGCATGTATGTTCATCACGCACATTTTCAAAATGTTCGGTTTTAAAGACAAATTTTCAAAAAATTCCAAAATTTCCTAAATTCAAAAACAGATTCTGGAAAAACTGTTGGAGTTAACAAAGAAACGAGGCCGGAAGTGACTTCTAGAGCTCAAAATTTATAAAATAATGTATTTAGTTAAGTTTCGAAAACGGTCAAAAATGGGTCGAAACTTGAAGGGGTATTTGAAAAATTTCACTTTTAAAAAAGTTGTCGAAAAATTCTCAAAAAATAAAGCATTTAACATTTTCAAAATGTTCCGTTTTAATTAATTTAATTTTCAAAAAATTTCAAAATTTCGATATTTCAACGGCCGATTCTAGAAAATCTATTGGAGTTAACAACGAAACGAGGCCGGAAGTGACTTCTAAAGTTCGAAATCTACAAGAAAATGTACATATATAGTTAAGTTTCGAAAACGGTCAAAAATGGGCTATTGTGGAAAATTTAATTTCTAAAAAAGTTGTTTAAAAATTCTGAGAAAATTCGGGGATATAGATCTCGACGTGCTGATTCCAAAAATATAGGGCGTTTTTCAAGTATTCAGTGTGAAATTCGAATTTTTTGGAATTTCTAAAAATTTCGATGTTTCAGTATGTGATTCCGGAGAAACGGTATGAGTAATCGATGAATTGAGGCCGGAAGTGACTTCTGCGGCCCAAAATTTAAGAGAAAATGTATTTAGTTAAATTTTGAAAATGGTCGAAAATGGGTCGAAATACATGGTGTAAAATTTCATTTTTGAAAAAATTGTTTAAAAATTCTCAAAAAATACAGCAACATAGATCTCGATGTGTTGATTCCAAAAATTGAGCTTGTGGAAAAATAGTATGTATTTTCGAAAATGTGAAACCGAAAATGGCTTCTAGAAATCGAATATAGATTTCGACGATTATGATCTGAAAATTTTGAATGGATTTAGCTTCATACACGCCTGAGTGAATAGTGGAATGTACAAACACGTACTCCTCCTATTGTGGTTTCTGTAAACAATTAGATTCTTTGTGGAGGAGTATATTTGATGGAGGCGCCAGATCAGGTCATGTCCAAAATACGTCAAAATTGAAAACTGAATTCAGTGTAATTGATAATAAATTGGCAGCCATTACAAAAACGTGATAACACCTGCGAGACATTTTGATTATCAAAAATACAAACCTGGGACAATCTGACGTAACTTTAACATCCCAATATTTTCAAAAATTTTAATTGATTTAACTTTATGCACACTTGGGTGGCTACTCGGGTCTACAAACCGGTGTTCCTTTTATATTTTTTGGGGTTTCCGTGAACATTTCGCCCAATTTGAAATCTTTTGTGTAGTTTATTTGGCGGAGGCGCCGGGCCAGGGCATCGTCTTGGGACAGCAGCCTTTGAAAACCCGATCGCCCCTCGCTGTTTCTCTATGTCCGGCGGTGCATCTCCCTCGCCGCCCCCGGCCCGATAAGTGTACCATGAGTGTATCCGTCTGCGCGCATATTTCGCCGAAGACGGCGTGTTGATCACATGGCGAAAGAATCTTTCGGGGGCGGCCGTTAATGAGCGACTCCGTATAGTGCAAGCATTCGCCGGTGGCAGCAGAGCTAGTGGTAACTGGCGCGGGTGCGCGACTCACGTTCTCCAAGCCACGCGATCCGCCGCCACCGCATTACAATTGCCGCCTGTCTGTTGGAGTGGTGACGCGCCGGGTGACCGCTCTAGCTTCGTATGACTTGTGTTCGGTAACCCCACATCTGTGCCGTAGTGGCTCTGTGTCTAGCCAGTGAATTGTGCCAATGCAACTGCCGCCTCATGGTGCCCCAGAGCGGAAGACTGCTCTTCTTCGCCCTGCTGATGGTTGCTGGTAAGTTAAGTTCGTGCCGATCTTAAGAACTCGCACCGCGGGAATTTTATCATTTTGATAATGACATGTGATAATGCCATTTATCATATTTACAAAGGGTGAAGTGTTTTAGCGTGTCGTGCGTTAATAACACATTGTCATTATTTGCATATTTTATTACTTTGAAGAGAAGTTTTGTTTTATAAACACCGACTTGTTTTTTACGTTTAGTTTTTTCAAAAGTCATTATCAGATTTCTCGGACGATAATGACACCCACGATAATTTGTTGAGACTTTCGAACTAACCTAACAAACACTACTCAACTACTGCTATTTTAGAAGTAACAGAAAAATTGTGGCTGTTTTTGAACAATTGGCGGGAAAAATTAACCTAAGTAAAATCAATCCACTTAGATTACGTCCAGTAAATTTTAATCCAATCAATTAAACTGTTCTTAAATTATTAAATTATTATCAATGACGAACGCGCACATCCAGACACCCTTTTAAAAATAGCATCAACGGACTCCCACATCACGGCTCGCCTTATTCGAATAATTTCCCTACTGAAAAGTTAAAGATAGAGGGTTGCACTTAAAAATAAAAAACAACTAGGGTGGGTTCACTTTTACGAGTTTTGATATATTTCCGCATTGAATGTTTTCTTGGTGTATTTCGATATTGACGTCAGTGAGATTGTTAATTTAGATAATGATTGTGCGTTTTGGGGTTAAACCGTGTGTGACAGTGTTTCTGCTGTCACGTGATTCACAGGCAATGCATAATTAAATGTCTTCATTCTCTTACACTTGCTAATAAATGCTTTGTTCACTATATACCAATACGTCAAAGTTTAAGCAATTTGTTGCGTGTAGAAGCATTGTAATGTATGGAAAATATTCTCAGAATTTAAAAATGCATACACTATTAAAATATACTCCACGAAATCCATCTAGGCGTAAATTGCAGAAAATGATATAACAAACAGCAACTGGGAAAATAAACCTAACAACTCTGACTTGATCTGAAAGTATCTGACTGACCCTGATTGATACGTCCGAATCCGACCTAACCTGACCTGACCGGACTTAATCTGACCTACCCTGACCTGATATCTCCTCTTATAGCTTGGCCTGACGTAACAGAACCTGGCCTGGCTAGGCTTGAACTGACCTATCCTGACCTGATTCGACCTCAAACCTCCTGGTCTGGGCTGACTGGGCCTCACCCGACCTAATACCTCTTTATTTGGTCTGACCTATCCAAACCTCATCTGACCTGACCTGACCCGACCTGATCTAGTCTAACGTGGCCTGATCGGACTTAACCTGACCTACCCTGACCTAAAACCGTACTAGACCCGACCTGATACCTCTTGATCTGGCCTGAACTGACTTGATCCTTGCGATCTAACCCGACCTCACACCTAACTTGACTTGACTTAGCCTAGTTCCAACGAATACTCCACCGTTTGCACTACAAGAAACTTTAAGTGCACTCTTTCTGAGAAAACAAGTGTATAATTATACAGCGTTTCACCGAAATTTTCAGAAGCGTTATCATAAAACTGATCACGACCGGTTGTGGACGGCAGTCGATTTGCGTGTGTCGTGTCGTTTCATTACATTATTTGTCACAAAACAAAAAGCTTAGAACCATCAAAACCAACTATTGTGGGGGCACGTCAAACCTTTAACGATTCAAAAAAACAAAAGTAATTAAAGGTGTGTGAATTAAACTGTTATTATTCTGAAAGTACGGTTAACGGTATATAGTTATTCGGTTCTCTCCTTTTTTCTCTCGGTTTCTCTTTCTATGTTTAAACTTATATAGGAATATTTCGTTGGTAATATGAAGCAGAATCACTGGTAGTTGAACGACGGATACAATGTAATGATTCATATTTTCAACTTTTAATTAATTTAAAGTTGGCTAGCTTTGCATAGGAATTGTAATTAATAACTCCATTACAGTGGTTGTAATTATACACTCGTTCTACTCGTCTTGCATACACTAGTACAAATGTAAATTATTTTGTGGATTATTTTTTAATAGTTTGATGGATATCACTACCGATGAATCCGAAATTTACAAGAATGTCCGGATTAGTCGCTGCTTTCCTATCTCTTTTGCGTCTTGATTTTAGCGTTTTAGCGGCCAGTTGGAGCGACTGGGGCCAGCGTGGCAAACATTAGTTCTTCAGGGAACAAAGTTCGCGACGAGCGCTTTTTAGGTGCGACAGATTAACGGCGTTAGGGAGCCAACTATCACGCATGAGATATATTAATTTGCAGTTCATTTGAGGGCAGAACTGCAGGAGTAAGCTGCGTGTCTTGTAATTCGATAGTGTCGGTGATGTAGCGCTATCTAAGTTAGGCTTATAATGATGATATTTCTGCTTATTAATGGGGGTAGTTGCAAGAGTGGTGTACAGTGGATCGCGTTGCACATTTCACGGATCACGCGACTACGTCGCCAGTTGGGGGTAATTGCCCCGGGTTATTGGCGTATGTCCTGATAATTACCCCCAAGTCTTAATTAAACTCGGACCGGCGCCTTCTTCGCAAGATGCAATTTGGCAATTTGGGCCAACGCTATTATAATGTATGCGTACTGAATTTGAAATGTTGCTCATAAATATGACATGGCTTATTATGGTAGAGATTAGGCTGCGCTACAAAAGCGTGTGTGTATAACGTGTACCGGCAGGTATATTTTATGGTAGATTTAGAGAAAATCGTTTTCCGGAATAATTCAGCGCCGACTGACATAAATTTCGATCGTATCAAAAATCGTTTTGGGTCGTATTTTGGGGGAGCAAGTAGTTGACGTAAACTGTTCCAAGAGCACGTCTCCAACCGATAATTAAAAGGGTTAACCACTCCGAACACTATTTATTCGGACAATTGTAGCACAACACCCAAAACTACCTTAAAATACGTTTTCGAACTTTTTCTCCATAGTCGTCGTACATTTTAATTCACTGACGTCAATTTTAATTGACGTACACTGAGTGGGATATCGGACAGGTTTAATAAAAAAAACCTTCGCTGCGTTCACAGCTCTAATTTTAGTTACCACAAATTTTAAAAATTTATCCTCACAATCGGAAAGTTAGTTGCCTCAAACTTCGCGGACGTTTCATTGCTTGAATCCGGTTAAAATTTAATTGAAATAAATTGCCATTACACGCACGAGACACGTATGACGCCGTTCGGTGATCGCTATCGCGATCAACCGGTTTCGCGCCAACCGGAAACCGGTTTACGCACGTGGATTGTTGCTGACCATCACATTGTTATTCGAGCAGTGAACGTTATTTGTTCTGAATGTGCGAAAAGTTGGAATCTACAACAGTTCGCAACTTTAATGTATGCTAAAGTTCCGAGTTAAGAGTTTTGCAGTTCACTGCATCGTCAAAGTTTTGCGCCACAAAAACGATAGTTGTTTTACTGCACTCTTATTAAGATTAGAAACACAACACTATCAACATATGCATACTTTAAACCGGTGCCATAAAATATGCACCAACGCTGGTAGATTATTATGCGATAAAATTCCAGTCAGAGTAGGCTTCGAGACCATAGAGAAAATGGCGAAAGGTGTTCACAAATGCACGTCATAAACCAAAGAGAATAATGAGAAAATATGATAAATATACAGTGCATCTGTTTTAAAATTGGCTATAGAAATTTTCATGGTAAATTTGATACCCCAAGTTAACTTATATTTGCGTAAAAATTCACTTGAAATTTTTACTGGATGTAATTTAAGTAATCTTTTGTCGATTTGATTAGGTTTTGCTTTAAATTGAAGCATACTTCTTAAAAAAAAATACATTATTTGGGTATTTTTGGCAGTAATATTGTAGGCAGCCATCTAAAAACGGACATTTACCTGACGTTACAGAATTAAAGAAAAAGTGGAAATTGTCACTGGATTCATTAAAGGCTTATTGACAAGAGACATTGCGCAGAATTTTGCTGCAGTATTTCCACATCGTCCTATACCCGGCAAGAACACAATTCAAAAAAATTTATTTTATCTTTCATTTTCTTCATTTATGTTTAGATTCCATCATTCTGTTTCTTTTCTAAAAACTGTAATAAAAGTGTTTAATGATGAAGTTTAAATTTAAAATCAAAATTGACAAAAATGATAAGTCAAAACTTTGAACTTATTAGCCAAAATATATATTCGTGAATTCAGATTGATTCGTAGGGTTATTCTATATTCAATTCCTCTCCAATTTGACAATATAGTTGAACTCCAATTTGGTGCTATCTATACGCATCACAAAGAAAAATATCTGTCATAATATATTGTATTAAAATTGACCTATATTCAGTTGTGTCTACACAATATAATCATTAATCAATTAAAATCCAATTACCATAAATACAAATAATCGTACGTTAACAAAAAACTTTTTCTGAGAACTAAGTACAAATACACTCAGATTCCAAAAAGGGCCAGGTGGTCAGAATAGTAGAAATTGTCATTACCAACATTTTTGTCATATTTTATAGTGCCAAAAGTTCTTAATTTCGTGCTAGAAATAAGTTTTTCTGTCAAATTCTTGGCAATTCTGTATTTATTTCCATTTATTAATCGGAATTTACTATAGCCACCTGCAGCAAAGTGTGACTTTAGCACCTGTTTCCGAAAAAAGTTGAACCCATCGCTGGCACATCTCAATAATCTGAAGCGGGCGTGGTCTGTGAAACGAACGCCCCATGCCCTTGAGAATTTTTAATTTAATTTTTGTTTCGCAGTAAAATTGATTTTAGTGTACGTATATTTGAGAATGACGTGTTTTACTTCTGTTTACATTTTATTTAAATATCTACTTACGATCCCTTGTCGCATGAACGCGAAACTAAATTATCAAATTATCTAGAAACTAATTTTAATTACATAAATGCTAATGTCACTTCAGATGAGTTAAATGGATGTTCTGTTGGCTTGTTATCTCGTGTCTCTTCATCTACAGTGATTGACGCTCCAGCCACAATGACCC